AACGATCAAGTTAGAACGTGTTTGAGGAGTTTAAGTGCGGAATGTAAAGGGGATCAGGCTCCTCTTTGGAGAGGAGTGATCATCTGGCTGCCTGAGACAGCCTCAATATCTGAGTGTTTCACTCTCTGATTTGAGGGTAGGAGGAGTATTCATCATGAATCTAATGTGAATTCAATGTGAATGAATCTCCCTCTCTAAAGATATTTTTTTGTGATCCCTTGCAACTGATGCAAATGGTTTGTATTTATAGAGTTTTTTGGAGAGGAGCTTGATGGGCTTAGGGACACGTCTCGCCTTAGCATTGGCCCATCTGTCAGGGGTATTTTTACCCCTAAACAGGTGGTAGTCTCCGTAATGAAGATTTGATTTGAACTACAAGAGGTGTTGTAGCTGGTGGTTCTAAATGACAAAAGGACCAAAAGCGCTCTGATGATTGAAATATCTCGTGGAAGATTTTTTTGTCAAGTACTATAGCTCTTACAAGCAAATTTAATTCTTATTTTGTGAATTTAAAACAAGTCTTTATAAGCTTTTAAGCATTGTGTACAAATGATAGGTTTGTGTCTGGTGTTTATAATTGCTGATAAAGGTGTAGATCTGAGTATGTTTATGAATGCATATATTATCTGCATGAATAAGCTCAATGATTGTGTTACTAATGTTTTGTGATATTAGCTGAAATGTAGTCTCGTTGATTTTTGTTGTACAGATTTTCCATCTTTTATTCTGTAATTTGTTGCAGGGGATGCACTTGGCTCCTTTGTGTATGTTCCATGTGAAGTGATAAAGCAACGGATGCAGGTTCAGGGAACCATTGATTCTTGGAATACTTTGATCTCAAAAGCTGAGAGTGGTAAGATTCCTGGAGTGCATATGTATGGTTACTATAATGGCATGTTTCATGCTGGACGCTCAATTTGGAAGGAACAAGGGCCAAAGGGTCTATATGCTGGGTACGTTTGCTGTTGGTTCCCTGTAAAAGGTTTATCCAGATCTTCTCTGCCATCTAATATACATATAGGTGGAAAATTAATATGCTGATCTACTGAACACTTATTCTCCCCTTCCCAGTTCCCACTAAAAAAAGACACAATTTCTGCTGGAGCTTGTTTGGTATGTTGATGAACGGCAGGCTTGGGATCAATGTGACAACACTGAAACTTCAATGTCCCAGTATCTACTCTTTTGTGTTCATGTACAACTGCGGAATTTCTTCCCAAATTTGTAATTTTACTCTATTTTAATACCTTTTTACTTGATTCTTTGGCAGGTATTGGTCTACACTAGCTAGAGATGTGCCTTTTGCTGGCTTGATGGTAGGCACTTTGATGAAATTCCCTGTTTACATCTTACTTTCACCATGTCCCGAATTCTTATTACACATTGGGTAACAATCTACAAATGCTAGTTGCTTGCATGTGTGCTATATGCTCTTAGTGTTATCCATATTCAAGTTAAGTGGTATACAAGTACTTTTCAGAAAATTTTGCCATGTATTGTTTGATTGAGGAATGGTGAAATTTTACATGTATGGAGCTATGAGAAAGCTAAGTTTTGCTCATTTTAATTTGCAGGTAATGTTTTACGAAGTACTGAAAGATTTGACAGATAAAGGGATGAAGAAGTGGACATGTGATGCAGAATACCAAATCAATAGTACTTTGGAGGGATTGGTGCTGGGAGGCGTAGCTGGAGGTATGGATTCTGGTTATTATCTTTACGTTTTCTGTGGTTAAAAGTTTACATGTTACGTCATAATTTCAGAACTTTCCGCTCAAATTAGAAATAACTACGAAACTTTGCAGGTTTGAGTGCTTATGTGACCACTCCATTAGACGTTATCAAGACTAGATTGCAAGTCCAAGGGCCAGATTTAAGGTATAACGGGGTTCAGCTACACATGACTTCTCTCTTCCGTGCCATATATTTATATATACTGTGCATGATTACACATGCTTAACCTATTCGATCCTATGATGATTATATACTTCGTATCTCTTTTTGTTTCTAGAACGACACTTATTTTAGGAATGAACTAGAACGACACTTATTTTAGGAATGAACTGAGTAGATTGTCACTAGTGCTACAAATGTACATGTTCTTGATATGGCCTTCCTTTATGACACCTTAATGGCTTGTAATTGATAACCATCATTGAGATAAAAGGAGGAGAATCTGCTGGAGGATAATCGAAATAGGCAGGGAAGAGAAGATAAATAAAAATTACTAGGAAATTTCATCTAATGTGTTTATGTCTGATGAAAAAGATAAATAGCTCATTTATGTTAGTAATGGCCCCAAATTGTATGGACTGTTTCAATCTTTATCGTGAACTCTGCTTTTTTTTTCTTTTTTTTTTTCCTTTTTTTTTTTCTTTTTTTGAAAAGGTAAGAAAATTATGTACTTCTGTGTGATATTCACTCATATTTGTGGTGCTTAGGCTATGTATTTGGTTTGTTTCTGTTTAAGGAAAAACAGTTCTAAATATATGGTTCCTCTAATGTTTCATGTAGGTATAAAGGTTGGTTCCATGCCATCCACCGGACATGGATGATTGAAGGCATGAAGGGAGTGTTCAGAGGTAGCATCCCAAGAGTCATATGGTATATTCCAGCCTCTGCTCTGACGTTCATGGCAGTAGAATTCCTCAGAGAGAGGTTCAATACAGGGTCAGAAAATGAAGAGGATGAAGTTGCAAGCATCGCAGTAGACAAAAAGGGATCTTTGAACGAGGTGGCTTAAAAACACTTTAGAAGACGACATTTTTTCCCCATCCATTGATTTACAGATGATATATTGTTGTATAGATTTACAGATAGTTGAGATTAGGTGTAGTTCCTGTTATAAATCTGATTGAGATGAAGGAAAAAAGCATAGTGACTGAGGGAGTTGGCCAATTTTGGAATCACAAAAATGAAATCTTTTTCTGTTTTTGGTTGCCTATACGCCTTATCTTATTATTCCTGAAGCAAAGGATTTGCCAATGGTCTGGTGGCTTCAAATGATATACTGTATTCAACAAGGAGATTAAGTGTACACAAAGTGTCATACAAATCATGCATACTAATTTCAACCTGAAAGGAATGATTATCATTAATAGAAAGTTATATACCATTCACAAATCTATAAAACATAGATGCATATTACCAAGTGAGCGAACCCTTTCTTGGTATGGTATATATAGACATATAGTACTTATATAGTTATATTGTCATTTTATGAGAACTTATTACTCGTATAATTAAAGTAACTCGAAATTATTTTGGAGGGACATAAACTTTAAATGGTGTACGAGTAAGAAAATTGATTCAAAAGGCAGGAAACCACGAAATAATCACCTTTCTGTACACATATAGTTTACCTCTAACTAACCAACTAAAGTTCACATTGTAGTCATAATATTAAAGTATTACAATTTTTTTTTATAAACTAAAAGTGGCATTTGACGCGCCATAATGACTTTAGTGGGAATTGAAAATAATATCCATGCATTCGATTTGCAATCCCAGCAAAAAAAAAGTGACTTTTGTATAGTGATTTTTTTTTAAAAAACGAGAAGTAAATCAAATTCAAATAAAACTTTGTTGGTTCAGGGTACGATAAGTATTTACTTGTATTTTATATTTACAAGTCAGCATGATCTTTCTTAAAAGGTGTATTAACTATGTGATAAAAAAAGTTAAATAATAATTTGCTCTGTTAAAAAAAAAAAAACCCTAAATTTCTCTCTGTTCTCTCTCTTCTAACCTAGCCACCATAGGAAAACTTAGGGGCTGCCATCGATTTTTATCGATGGTAAGCCCCAAATTCTTCTTAAATTTAATGTTTTTAGCCAATAAAGATCACCAACAGTGTGGTGATTATAGTCAATCCCTCCATATAGGGTTTAGTCAGTCCCTCCATGTAGGGTTTCGTATTGTTTGTTTGTTTGTTTTTAGTGTGTGCAGGGATAAAAATTTGGAAGATTCGTCTTACAAATTTGTGGAATTGCTGGTCTGTTGGTATAGGGGTGCAGATTTAGAAGATTCGTCTTGCAAATTTGCAGATCTTGATGACCAATCAAGTTTTATCACTTTTGCGACTATACATCAATGGAGCTCAGTCAAGAACGATGCAAAGACATCTAAAATTATCCAGGAGCAGTTCAGAAGCGATGCCATTAGTTTAGGGGTGTTTAATTCTTGTATTGAGAATTTAGATCTCTTAAGGGATGATTGTAAGTGCCGAATGACTATTATTATTTAATGAAATCACCCCTCCCTATTCCATTCAAAAAAAAAAAAAAAATTAAATAATCAAAATTGGCTTCAACAACATGAATTAACAAGGTGCACGTAAAAGTATGAACTTTGAATAGTAACCAACTTTTTCAGCAGGTGTGCAAAATAACATGAATGAAACCCGGCACCAGAGATTCTGTCGGAGACGGGGAACATTTAACAGTTCATTATTATCAAAAATCGCCTAGGATCATGTGCTTCGATTTGCATGTGGAAAAATTGATCATTTAAGGTTTCGAGGGTCATTTTAACCCTTAAGAAACAATGTTGAGATAAAATTTAGTAATAACTTACCAAAAACGTATTGGTTTGGGGTTAAAAACGACTCGAGTAAGGTATGGGTCAATTTGGACTAAGAACAGACCAAATTTGAGGCTAAAATTGGCAAAACATAATAAAATATTAAGATGTTTTTATCTCTAACAGAGTTTCCCCGTGTCGGATTTCAATTATGATATTTCGTGCATCTAATGAAGAAGTTTGTACTCATACGACTGTTAATCTAAGTTTATGTTTATACGTGCACCTTTGTTAAAAAGTTCATGTTGTCGAGGCCAATACTTTTGGGACTGGAAATGAAGTGCGTACCCTATATCTTGGGACGCGAGTAGTTTGGTTACGGTGTACCTTGTACTTTATAACGAGTTAACCTTTATTTTTGAAATCGGGGTGACTTTTGATTGAGGAAGCCCCAATATTTCCCATAGAATACATCTTTTGTATCTCAAATGCCTTTTTGCTACTGTGCTTTTGAAGTGATTAATTTTTTATAAATCTTTTTTTTGCTGACCTACAAAAGATTTAACTGCCTTTTTATTTTCCGTCACTAACGTTTCTTCATCCTCCTTCACCTTCCTTCCACATTTCTCTGCAACAATGGTGGAATCAGCCCAACATCACAATAGATATCATCTCCAACACCACTAACGCTGCAATAAACTCGATCCCAACACAGGAGTCGTCGAATCTCACGAAAAATATCGAAATTAAGGGTGTTGTTAACCCCAAAGGGTAAGTGTTTGTCATTTGCTAGCAAGCTTCCCTCTTCCATTGATTTCCTTGAACTCCATTGTAACAGAATTGATAGCTTCATCAATCTTGTAATTTTTAGCGGATCTACTGACGGAGTTAATCTGCCATCTCATACTAAACTAATGGCATGACATAAATAACCCAAAGCCCCACTTTATCTTGATGATAGACATGGGGGCGTTTATATAATGGCATTACAATAATATATCGCATTGGAAATCGTGCCAAAGTATTAAATTTTTTTTTTGGTTTTTGTTTTGTCTTTTTTTTAATAGCTTTAAAATTATATGGACGACGTTAACTCCTTCACCCATACTCTTCTTCCTCCCCCAATCACACCGGTCTGCCATTGAAGGACCCGGAGCTTTCCTTCACCTGCCACCTTCTTCTTCATCCTCGATCACCCATCCTCCACCACCATGCCAACCACCATATGCCGCCGAACTAAACGAAAACCCTAAGTAAAAAGGGAGAAACTAAAGGGCAAGGTCAACCCCAAAGGGTAGGAGTTACATTAGCCTCCATTGAAACTTCTCCCTGAGCTTGAATTTCAGTAATTGAAGTTTTTGAAATTCCCAATGAAGCTGTTGAAGTGAATTTCCGTCATTAATGGCTTTCCTCAAGCTTAACGGTGTTAATTATTGAAATTACAAACTTATCCATACTTAAATACGCAAATAGACAATTATACCCTCAGATAAACTTGTATTTTCTCAATAACCCATCTTTTATCAAGGAAAAGTCTAACATGCCCCTTTGAGATGAGATACATGTATTTTCTCCTTTTGATTAGCTACGGAGGAGTTGACGAGCGAATACCGTTGTTTCACCCAAACCTCTACCGAACCTCACAAAGACACAAACCCTGAATTAGTTATACCTCTCTTCACATTGACAACACCTACCTACAACCTACCCATCCCATCTCTTCTCCGAGCTCAAAACAAACACAACAATGGCGGCAACCGAGAAGAGGTGCTATTACGAGGTATTAGGCCTCCAACAAAGCTGCACCCAAGACGAAATTCGCAGCGCCTACAAAAAGCTCGCCCTCCAACGCCACCCCGACAAGCTCATACAATCCGGCATCGCCTCAGCCGACGCAACCGCCGCATTCCAAGAGCTTGTTCGAGCCTATGAAATTCTATCCGACCCGAAAGAGCGTTCTTGGTATGATTCACATCGATCCCAAATCCTATTTTCTTCGAATTCTGGAAGTGATTCTAATTCCAATTCTGATTCCCCATTCCCTGATTTGTTTTCCTACTTTTCTCCTTCTTGTTACACTGATTATACGAATCCTAAAACTGGGTTTTACAAGGTTTATGGTGATGTATTTGATAAAATTTATGCGCATGAAATTAAGTATTGTAGGTTGATGGGGTTGAATTTAGGGTTAGTTAAGGAGGCCCCATTGTTGGGGGATTTGAAATGTGATTATAGTCAGGTGAATGCGTTTTATGGGTATTGGTTGGGGTTTAGTACTGTTATGGATTTTGGGTGGGTGGATAAGTATGATGCTGCTGCCGGGGAGAATAGGAAGTCGAGGCGGGTGATGGAGGAGGAGAATAAGAAGGTGAGGAAGAAGGCAAAGAGGGAGTTTAATGAGACGGTTAGGGGTTTGGCGGAGTTTGTGAAGAAGAGGGATAAGAGGGTCATTGATATGATGGTGAAGAAGGAGAAGGAGAGGGAGAAGAAAAGGGCGGAGGAGATGGCGAAGAAGAAGGAGAAGGAGAGGGAGAAGTTGGAGAGGGCGAGAATGTATCAGGAGCCAGATTGGGCTAAGGTTGAGGAAGTGGAGTTGGAGGATTTGGAGGAGGATGGGGAGGGAGAGGAAGAGAGGAAGGAGTTGTATTGTGCTGCTTGTGGGAAAAAGTTTAAGTCGGACAAGCAGTGGAAGAATCATGAGCAGTCAAAGAAACATAAGGAGAAGGTGGCTCATTTAAGGAAGTCTTTCATCGAGGAAGATGATTTCGAGGATGTTGAACAGGTGGATGTTGATGGTGGAATTCAGCATGAAGATGAAACTGAGCCTGTGGCAAAAATTGTGGATGATAAGAATGATGTGGCAGGGAATGTGGACAGTGAGAACGTTGTCATCGATGATGGTTTTGTGTCTGCAGAGGATGATGTTGATGAGTTAGAAGAGAGGTTTCAGGAAAGTGTTGGGTTTGAGGAGGGAAAAAGTAGATATGAACTCCCTTCTGATAAAGAAGATGGCATTGGTAATGATGAATTGAATGATATTGGACAGTCTCCTGGTGGATCCGATGATGAGTCAATTGATCTTGAAGCCATGATCTCTGGTCGCTGGAATAAGAAGCATGTGACTTCAAAGAATGAATCTTTCGAAAGGAATAATGTTCAGAGTGAGGATGATATAGAGCCTATGGAGTATAATAACAAAAAAGTAAAAAAGAAGAGCAGAAGAGCCAAGAAAGAGAAGGACAAACCTTTTCAGGCAGAACCGTCAAGAGTAGGTGATAATGTTACCAATGTACCAGTTATGGAAAACAATGGACTCAGTGCTTCAGATACAGCAAACAACGCGGATGATGATCAAGTTGATCATGACCCACAAACTAGCACCAAGGCCGGGAAAAAATCTTTTGGAAGGAAAGAAAAAGGTACCATCAAGCGAGATACTGAGACAAAACCAAAGAACTCGTGTAAAGGAAGGAAACAAAAGGTGAGTAGTATAACTAGTGTTAATTTTTTCCAGTACTTTGTAGCAATTTCCTGCTCATTGTTTGCGATGATCTTTGTTTTCGACATTACTTCTATCATGTGCAATTATCATATGCAATAATAATATCCATCTTGGTAACTTTTAATTTTTATTTTTTTCTTCTTATGTGATATCTAGTTTGTATCCTGAAATAGTATTTGGTTAAAAGTAACTTGAGAGATGCAAACATTTGTTGCTGAATGGAGAATAATATTCATTTCTTGAGGAAGATTGGGTTATTGTTTGATAGGGAGTAAATATAAATAAAAGATATTCTTCATTGAAAAAGAATTTCAGTACCATCAAATACCTTTATGACCATAAGATCCACTGAAAGCTGCTTCTCACTTTCTTGCACATACCTGCTGGAAGAGTTGCTTCTCTAAATACTATTCCCTCCACTATACTTTCCTTTTCGGGTGTCTTAATATAATTTTTCCATTTCCTATTGTGGTGTTCCAAAATAGTCCCTCCTTCCCACCATTCTTTTCCCATTGTGAAAATTTCATTGGAATTAAGAAATTTTGGAACATGTATGATTTGCAATTATTACCTTACATTTGTAATTGTGTTTTTATTGGAAATTACATGATTCATTGTTTGGGGAAGGATAAACATTTGCAATTGTAATCTTTTTGGAAATTACATGATTCAATGTTTTCGGGAGAAAAAACATTTGCACTCGTATTTTTATCCTCATTTTTCCAGAAAATTGTACCCATTTTATGCATGGGAAAATGAATCTTGGTCTTTTTTGCAAGAATGTGTAGAATGCAACAATAACATCTGTACTTTTATCTTCTCCCAACATTGGATAGTGTAATTTCCAATAAAAATACAATTACAAATGTACAATAATAATTGCAAATCATAGATGTTCAAAATTTCTTAATTCTTGTGAAATTTTCATATTTAAAAAAAGTATAGTGGGATGGGGGAAGTATGATTTACCCACCCTCAAAGGCACCCTATAATTATGAGCATATGACTTGTGTGCGTGTAATATGCCCATATATCTATTTATTTCTTGCTTTATATCCCAATAGTTAAAACGAAAGGAATTGTGTTCTTGATTCAAGTGCAATTACTAAATATAATAAGGATTGCATTCTGGAGGTATTAAGTTCCTTTATGTCTTATTGATCATTGGACTAACACGAAATAAATTCAACGCTCACCTAAACGGATCGTATAAGGTCACACATAATGTGTTAGATCAAACAAAAGAAAAACCGAGCCGAAGTTGGGCTTGATGTGGCCAACCAAGTGGAGTGGAAAAGGGGAGTATTAAGTTACCCTAATTATAGTAATATGATTATATATTTGGGGATTTGGGAATAAAATGTATACACAGTATATTTCACCCAAAAGAAATTACGTATAATTTCTCTCCCTCCCGCTCACATAGCCAACTCTATACTCCAAGGAGGAGGTGGTTTTCTTTGGTCGGTGGAGGTTTGATCTACATCGATGGGCTATTTGTAGAGGAGCGTCGGTTGCGGTTCTAAATCTCTAGAGGAAAATCACGCTACTAAGGTTGTACTCTAATCTATTTTGTGATCCTTTAATTGTATATGCATTTTGATCTTGGTTTGAGTGCTATGGATATGATACATGAAAGTTTGCTCGGTGTAACTCACATACCATATAGGGTTTTAGGTACTTTTAGCGAAATTTCATGTGTCATGTACATTGCACCTTAACCAAGATCAACATGCATATACAATTGAAGGATCATATAATAGATTAGAGTGCAACCTTTGTAGCGTGATATTCTTCTATGCAGACTTGACTTTTCAGGAAATCTAGAGCTGCAACCAAAGCTCCTTTACAAATAGTCCACCGGTGTAGATTAAACCTCTACCTTCTCTTTGTTGGAGTAAACAATCGGCTATTTGTGAGATAGGAGAGCGAAATTATATGTAGTTTCTTTTGGGTGAAATATGATGTGTATTACAAGTACGTTTTATTCCCTAATCATATACTCATATCATTAGGGCAACTTCCATTTGGCACACTAAGCCAAACATTGGCTCGGTTTATTTATTTATTTTTTAATCTAACATTTTATGTGTGACCTCATAAGATTCGTTTAGGTGGGCATTGTGTCTATTTTGTTTTAGCTCAATGGTCAATATTGGTCTTTAGTAAGATATAATGACGACCCAAATAAACAAACTTATTATCTCCATAATCCAATCCTTATCATATTTAGTAATTGCCCATGAGTCGAGGACACAATTCCTTAAATTACTACGACCAATCCACCAATGCTATAATGTATAGTATAATGAACATAAATAGATGATATTTTAAAAATATATTTCCTCATATGATTTAATTAGTAAAAAGAATATCCTTGTGAAAGGATAAATTTTCAAAAACATATTGATGTACATATGCATAGTTCTAGTTCCTATCCTTTAATTTTATATATACAAGTTTAGATACATGCGTGCGTGTGCAATATAAGTAATCTATCAAGCTCGATTCCCTTTCTACAATATTATCTCCTTAATTCTAATTAAAAATATTAGTGGGTTTAAAAATTGTTGATAGAATATTATAAAGAAATATGTTATTAAAAAAATATGTTGATAATGTCATGTAGGCTAAATAATAAAATTTGACTTCCCTAAAAAATTTTAAAAAAGAAAAGATGAAAGTTATTTTTTTTTAACTTTTTATTTTTATTTTTTTTTAACCAAGATAGTAGTTTTTTGTCAAGGATGGTAGTTTTTTTTATTCATTTTTTTTAACTTTTTATTTTTATTTTTTTTTTAACCAAGATAGTAGTTTTTTGTAAAGGATGGTAGTTTTTTTTATTCACAAAAAAAAAAAAAAAAAAAAGAAAAAAGAAAAAGAAAAAATGTGAGGGGGGTATTTTGGGAAAGTGAAATTTATTACCCAAAACCCCCTTTCACTTTATATATAGGATATATCCTAATATTTACCTATATATTGTACTCAATCAATTGATTGAAATGAATCAGTTAATTTATTGCTTTTTCTTGTAAGAGTAGGTATGATTATTGGATAATCCTTATTCATGGTTTGCTTTTTGCTACAATTTTATACTCCCTCCGTTTCATAATGTTAGTCCCATATATTATGTTTTGGGCGTTTCAAAAAGATTTACCCATATTGAATATGTTCCATTTTTAACTTAATTTTTTTGGAATTAATTGGTTGTGGATTGATGTCATGACTCTAAGCAAGAAAATTATGACTTGTGCTTTCCCAAAAAAAAAAAAATCAAAAAACTTAAATAAGGTAAACTAATTATGAATTATTTTGTACTTTAATGTTAGATTTCAAATATTCTTCTTTTCTTATTTTATGTGATTGATTCCATATGAGACTAACATTATGAAATGGGGGGAGTATTAAAAAAATTAAGTTAAATGTTAGACCATGCTAGATTAGTCCTCTTGGAAGTTCTATCTTACATTCTACGGTTGCCTATTTCACATTACTCTCTGCCCTAAGAGTAGAAGAGTAAAGTTGTGGCAAAGTTTTGTACATGAATCTCAAACCTTAAACTTCCATGCTTTAATGAACATATGTCTTACTTTATTACTTGATGCTGGGTTGCTGATTGATTTTTTAGGAACAAAGCTCTTACCTCTTACTTTATTTATTTAACCAGTTTGTCTGCATGCTTATACTAAACTTACATTCTGACTTGCTGCAGGAAAAATCTAAAAATCTCGAACCTGTCTGTGAAAAATGTGGGGAAGAGTTTGAGTCAAGGTAATAATAAAATTTGATGCTAACCCTTGTTTAACTAAGCTGTTGGCTTTGATGTTTGTCGTAGTCCTGGTTGTTTCAATTTTAATGTGGTGCAATCATCATTTGACAGATCTAAACTTCACAAACATTTAAGTGAAACTGGTCATGCAACGGTGAAAATTAGATGATGAATTGGAAATTGCGTCGCACAAACACATTCTTCTCCCTCATGTTGGTGGTGCTGATTAGCTGCATGAGGGTGATTATTTTACGTTCAAGAATAGATGTTGTCTTGGCCTGTCAATTCTTGGGAGCTAATATACACATATCTGTTTTTCACGGGGATAGCTTGCTTGAGTCGCTTCAACAAAAGAGAAAATTTTAGATGTAGCTAATTTTCATGTCAGGATGACCGAGATATGTTATTGTTTGTGCCATCTTTGGATGGATGTTCTTTATCTGTATTTTTTGATGGGGCAAGGGAGGTTACCTATATTAGCAAAAAATCTTTGTTCTGTGCTGAATAAAGGTTGGGGTTAGGATGATAGTAGACAAGAAAGAAGAAAGGTAACTCAAAAAGCAAAATTTTTTAATACTAAATGTTTGCATGGAACATCATAATTCATACAGTATAAATTAAGCTGTAAAGATATCTACTCCAATGAGGCAATGACTACGTTCTTTGGTCAGCTTGTGTATCCCATAATTAGATATTTTAGCTTTAACTGCACTTTTTCTTTGCCAGAACAATTGCAGACATGCCCAATTTTTATGTGTGGTTTGTTGTATTTGGTTGATGTTTTAGTTTTGTTTAGCTCTTATAGGTTGTAATTTCTTTCTTCTTTAAATGAACTCTTTGTATAATTGTATATCCATACTCGTACAATACAGAAATTGGCATTTAAAGCTGGTACAAAAAAATCACAGTATTTTTCATTCCAATCCTTCATCTAAATAATAAATTAACAGAAATGTTGATCCATCCTTACAAAGAAGACATGTTCATAGGACTAAGAAATTGATATGCCCCCCAATAACAGTCACTGAGGCAGTACTGTAGCTTAGGAAGAATAGAGTAACCAAGCCAATTTACAAATTAGAGCCTGTTTCACTTGCTAGGGCACAACATATTTACAAAATCTAGTGCTAGCACTTTGCAAACTCATCACTAGTCAATGAAATTATCCAAAATAATGATTTTTACAATAAATTAAGAATCTGCCCCGTCATCAGAGAGGTCTTGCAGCAGCTTCTTTTATGTAAGCTAATGCTTCTTTTTCAGAAAGCTGCCCTCCTTCTGACAGTCCCCTGATCAAGGTATTAGCATAAACATTGCCAGGAGCACATCGTGGTAATTTTGCAGATTTGAAGTCCTGTACATCATGCAGATCACACCTGGAAAAGAAAAAGTCACATCATTTGATACTGGTTTGTGGAACTCATCATTTACAATCCACGGATAACATAACTTGTATAACGTACGTCATGGTAAGGATGGGAACACCCTGTTCCTCGCCCAAAAAGACTACATTTCGATACCAACCTCCCTGCATTTTAAATAAATTGCTTTGGTTAGCATAGCAGATGAGTATTTTCCTTGCTCCTTCCATTAAAAACAGGAGAAATGGAGTGAAAAAGAGGGTGTTTTTTTTGGGGGGGGGGGGATAAGTAAAACTAGTGGACGTCAAAGCTAAATTAGGTCCATTATCACCCCACTTAAATCCTAGTAAATTTCATGGCAAAATCATGAAATTAACTTGAAGCAGACTATTAAAATCATATTATGGAAAAGTTCATTCACTGCTAACTAATCACTCATATTGCAAAATTATATCGAAAGTCTGGAATTTAGACGTGCACACATAATAAAGGGCTGTACAACTCACCTCAGCAATGGAGAAGGATCCAGTATTTTTAACAGCATTCAGAGCTTCCGATGTAATCCAAGGAGCATCAACATTACAACTTATGCAATTTTCTTGAAACAAAACATCATTAAACTGCTCTAGCCTGTACACAAATCAGAGTTGGCATTTTAAATGTTAGATGTTCACTGTAGCTGCTAATGATATACCAAGTTGCACACCCAACTTGGTGGGGGGGGGGGGGGGACATAAGCAGAGCATAAATTATTAATTAGCAAAGCAGAGATGACACAAAAAAAAAAAAAAAAAAAAAAAAAAAAGAGGGGAAAAGATCACTTACGTCAGTTTATACATGCAGATATAAGATTTTTCCACTGCACTACTTTCAGGATGAAGGAAAGCAACTCCAGCAGGACCCCATGTTTTAGTGTAATCATGGCCAAAGAATAATCTATGAGGAACACACTTCCACATGACATCTTTTGGTGGGCTACTGTCCATGGAACCTGAACATAACTTTTGCATACCTTCCACCTGATTACATCAGCGAATTGAAAAGCCAAATGAGGGCTGACATATTTCACATAACTCGCTATCGACTCTAGGAACATATCACAGAACCTTCAGAGTACAACTATAAGATAACTTTACCCAAAACCTCCTTGAGGACAACACAAACCACCACTCTCCAGACACTGAAAGTTGCCGTTTGAGCATGAAATTACATGCAGTAGGCTACGTATATGTTCTATTTTATATGGGACATCTAGAGGTTATACTCTGGCATACAGAAATAAACAGCATAATTACTTTTTTTTTAACAGGAAAGGATATATAGAGCATGAGGTTCATGCAAACATAAGTCAGCAGCAGCCACTAAATTAGTCCATCAAACCAATTCTGAAATATTATTTTTAGCAATTACTTGCATATAGACAACATAGTTTACCTGTCCACCTTGGATATAACAGAGAAGTCTTGGTTTCCACATATTTGAACCAAAAGATGCATACCAAATATCAATTAGCTTCTGCTCAGCTCTCCAAGAGACTGAAGCATCCTTCTGATCTGCACTCCAATAAGACAGCAAATGAAATTAGATGGGGAGGGGCAGAAAAGGGTAGTGGCTGGAGACTTCTAATATTTGCTTGGGAGATATAAAATTCCTTCTATCCGGACCTTCATCAACTTTCAGTGCTGAAAGCGGTTGTATAATATCCTTGATAGCTTCCTCAATATCTTCAGATTCAGACTCAGAGCTCACTTCAACCACCAGCTGTTTGCAGAAGAATTCAGTGACACATTAATGGAATATTGATTGTGATAAAAAAAATAAAATGGAGGTAGCATATATCTCAATTATGTATCATTTGAAAAAATAGGCAGATGAGAAGTCAGGTTAACCTCTAAGAGAATGCTTAGATTGCGGTTAAAGGTAGATAACAGTGGTAGATTGGTTAAGGTAGTGATTGTGCGAGGGAAGAAAGGGGAATTATCACCCCAAAAATCACCCCCCCCCCCGGCCCACAACACACACACTCATAATTGAGGTTAATAATAAATGGCTCATCCATTTCCCTCGTTTTATCATCACAACATCATCCCTTCTATTACAATGCCTCATCCGATTTGCTTTTTGCACAATTTTCAATGCAATATTGTGATTATAATATCTCAAGCAACATATAAAAAAAGTCTGAACATTACATATTTGGAAACTAAAAATCAAGATGTATCTAACAAGATCTCATATGACTAGAAGTATAGAAAAATCGAGTAAAGTATTATATTTCATTCGATTGTAATCTCTCAAGATTCCAAATAGGACAAACAAAAGAAAACGAGGGAGAATTTTATATGCTTTGGTCACAGATCAATGGCATATGACAAGCAAATTCATTAAGGCCAAGATTCATGAAGTTAAAGTATTACCTGAGATGCAGGCGCTTTCTGGCTTGTTAGCTTTTTTGGTAATTCATTGGCGAGGCTTGGCCAATACACACTCAATTTTTGCCGAACCTATGATAATACATGCACTTTTCATAGTAATACAGGCTCGAAAATATGCCCTCGAAGTCAAGGTGCAGTATAAAAAAATAATAAAAACCACATATACTCACATTTTCTATGACGCGCCATGTTGATTCAAATGGATAAGCCTCAGAAGATCCATCAATTGGCTTTTCTTCTAACAATACTTGCACACATGCAAGAGCGGAATTTGCCAAAGATTCAAGATGATACCCGCCTTCCAAAGAAAGTAAAATTTTACCTTGGGCAAAATCCATTAACTACAAAACAGAGTATAAGAAAAGACCAAGTTTTGGTAAGCAACAGGACCTAATTCAAAGATAGATTGTAGACTACAGCTATGTGCTTTGTCATCCTTGTTATCATGGTTGATCGTAACAGTTAACCAACAAGCATTTTGGGGACTTAACTTAGCAGAATTTTTTTTTACCAAGATTGTATAAAACATTCAACTTAACAAATACCAAACCATTAACATGTAAACAACAAAGCTTACCGGCACTATGCCATAAAGGGCAATGATTCGTACCATAAGGTCCACAATGTAATTCATGTTTACAAGCATATATGCCTAAAATTATTTAGATACCAACCTTTCTCAGCAAAACAGAGTAGCCATAAGGAGAAATACAGCAACCGCCAAGAGGATCACGAACAGCTGTTGCAAAAAAAGTGTTTTAATACCTAGAGAAACTTAATTATATAAATCTAGAAAAATGATCACAATATCACATCTACCAGCTAAAGACAATGCAACATTTTAAGAATAGAAGAAAAGATCGGAAAGTACCAAACAACTTTTTTGCATTTTTTCGAATTTCAAAACCATCAAATATGGAAAGGAACTCAACTACTCAAGCTGTTCCATGGATTTGCTTATAGTCTAAGCATACCAAGATCATATTATGACAACAAAAGAGTACAAGTTTTTAATGAAAAGAATTACTGGATGTCCTTATTAGATAAAATAGATGAATTTGTCAAAATCTCTACAAAGTTAGCATCAGAAATGGCCTAGACAACAGCTGAGCAGCTTGATTGTTCAGCAATGGTCTAATAACTAGGGACTGTTTTGGTACTACACAGTGCACACAGAAATTAATGAAAGCCATCTACCAATTTCATCTTAATCAACCTGCATCAAACCCGGCAGAAACTATAATCATGTCTGGATTGAATTCTTTAGCAACAGGGATCAAAATGTGGTCCCAAGCAGCAAAATAGTCTGGATCACCACATCGACCTTGTTCCCAGGGCACATTAATGTTGTATCCCTCCCCTGGTCCTTCTCCAATCATACTAAGATCGCCATCATCGGTTCCAGGATAAAAACATCCAAAGTCATGCCTAGAAATATAACGAGCCAATAAATAAAAATAAAAAGATTAAGGATATATGTATCCTAATTGTTTGAATTCATACGGAGAAAATGCAACGCTGGGACAATATTACATAACCATTCGAAGAATAGATATAGTAAATTTTTCTAATTTTTACCTGTGTACTGAGAAGAAAAGAACACGAGAATCCTTCCAAAACATTTTCTGAGTGGCATTGCCATGATGAACATCCCAATCAACAATCAACAATCAAGATTCTGTGAATTCCCAATTCTGCCTGGAAACAAAATAGTCAAAAAAATATTAAAGTCAATCAATAATCAACACAAACAATTCTTTTTCTTTCTTTTTTTTTTAAAAAAAAAATTCAGGTCCTTCAATAAACTGAGGGAAGGGGGCGTGAGCAGAGAAATCTCACTCTTTCATTCAGCAGATAACTAGCTGCAACAGCCA